GGAGCGCCTTCCCCGGCGCCTACCTCGGCCAACTCTGCCAAAAGCCATCTGTGTGGCGAGACAAGGACTGCTTTTTTGGCGAAGGCACTCCTCCTGCCCTCAGCAGGGCCAGCAGCGAGAAGAAAGGCCAGCCGGACTCGATGAGGTTGGCCATCCCGCAACTCTGCACAAGCACATCGATCTCTGTGAGCACCGCCTCTTCGTGCACCTCTGAACCACCAAACAGAGGATCTCATCACGTTGATCCAGAATAGGTGCCTGCCTTCATGGCTTGAAGCTGCTCCTCCCTGCCCATGCCGCAAAGAATGAAAAGCTGCCTCAAAGCAGCGGTGGGCGCCCTCTCCAGCTCTAACAGTGTCAAGCGTACACAGCACTGAAGACAGACAGCTGAATGCGTGAAAAGCTGCAATGCAAGCTGGGCAAGCCGGCACGGAAGGGACCTTGCTGTCGGCACACGTCGACTCTTGCACAAGCAGAATATAGCACGATCAACCACATGTTTATGTATGATATGTATGCTTTTTTGTGTTTATATACTTGGGTTACAGCCGGCAGGCATGACGTGGTCTGGATGAGATCCTTGGTATCCCGGAACAAGCCTAGAAACACAACTGTCAAACTACAAACCAAGAAAAAGCGGTCCCAAATCCCCAGAGCAGACGTCGAGCCGCTGAGTGCCTTCGTTGAGGAGTCTTGTATTGGCTGCGTTCAAGGCAAGATCCCCGAACGAAATAGGCCTGGCCTGGGGGACCGGTGTCAAGGAGTCGTGGATTTTTCCGCCCATCCAAAGCTTAGGGTTGGGGATTGCGGGCTTAGGCTTCCGTGCGTCTTGGAATGGAGTTTAGAATTCCATGACGTTTGCAAGGGCTGCATATCCTGAGCAAAGAGACCTTTCCACAAAACGGCTGTGAAGAGCTCAGGCGGGAGCTCTGCTCTCATTGACAAAGCCCGCTCTGCAGCTGGCATTAGATCCTGCGCTTCAAAAGCGAATACAAGAGGGCAAGGCCACTGAAAGCTGCACCCATGGCGCACCTCTGGTCGGATCTCCAGCTCGGCGACGCCTGGCCAGAAGGTCCAAACGCGCAAGGCCCACTGCACCTTGGCAACTTGGGCAAGGGCAGGAAGGGCTCTCAATGCAGCGCAGGTCGGTGGGTCCGAATACGGCGTTCTCTGCACAGCGGCCTGCCTTCGGCAGGTCTGCCGCAACGGAGTGGCAGCTCCCTGGCAGGCAAAAGGCAGGGCACATCATGACCGACGAGGAAACCCTGGCCCTGCTGGCGGTGGCGCATCGCCCACCACCCTGCGAAGAGCCTCTGCATGCTGCTACGGCAGCAGGAAGGAGCCATGGTAGAAGCATGGCTGGCCATTTGCTGGCACATGGTCAAACTTTGGCTCGCTGCCCCTCCCTGTTTTTTACTTCAGGCAATGCCGGAAACCGGCCCCTGTTGCTCATGGTTCCAGGCAGCCAGCTGTTCGTGCCGATTAGATATGCCTCCAACCTCCTTCGCAATATTCGAAGTCACAGGCTCATTCAAGCTTCGTTTAAGCTTGCAATCACTTGAGATTGGGCCATCGACCTAAAGTATCGCAAGGTACCCACACAGAAACGATGCGTTCGAAAATGTCAAAGCCGCCGCGCAAGAGACTCAGCATGGGATTTGGACAGGCGCACGCTGATGGTGGAGAAGCGGTTCCTTTCAGCTGGATTCTCAAGAAACTCATGCCGACCAAGTGAAATGGTGCACCTTCTACACTGGCAGACTTGAGCTTTGCTGTCGAGCGGCGGGATTTTCAACGACTTGGAGATGTAGATGCCGCCACTGGCAGGTGCGGTGTCATTCCGGGGCTTTGCAATGCGCTGAAACGTAAAACATGGTGCAGTTTCAGTTGACTCAGTCCTCTTTGAAATTTAGGAGTCCTAGCCCTCACGGTCCTCACTTGACGCAGATGCAGATCCTGGGCATCTGGCTGTCTCCTCGAGGCGACGCTGCCATACTTGCTAAAGGTGGAGACAACCTCGGGGGAGCCGGCGCCAGTTTTACTTCTAGGACTCCGGGAATGTCCGAGCCTCGCCGAAGGTGACAGAGCTCTTCCGCGGGAAGCCTTCTTTGTCTCGCGCCTTTGTCACACAGCAGGCTCTGCAAGGCTCCGAAAACACAAGCCATGCCGAGAACATCCGAGCCACCGCCTGACAACATGCAGTAGGACTCCGGCGAGAATCTCTGCCGACAGCGATGGACGCGCAGGTCGTGGGGAAAGTGACATGCTCTGACCCACCCACCGCTTGGAAGTGCGTCTACGACAGATTGGTTCTTACATCAGAAACACAATTAGTTGATCCGCTTTTCGACGTAGCCGTCGGGATGATGGCTGACGTAGGCTTGAAGCTTGTTGGAAATCGACACTGTGAACATTGTGATAAGATCCCAGGCTCTTTCTAGGTTGAGACCCTGAGACCCTCCTTGCAAAGGACCGTAGCTACATACTTCCCTATCCCTTGCACTCTTGAGGCATCGCCGACCTGAAGGCATTTTGATAATAAGATAGAATCATCGCGCTCGATGTGTAGGCTGCTCTTGCTTTTTGTCTCGTCGTGCGCCTTGCCGAATCTTCTTCTTCTCACCTGAGATGTACAGTACCGAATGGATCCTCTGAAAGCTCAAGCTCGCTGCAATGTTCTGGATTACGCAATCCAGTTCGCAAGGCATCTGCAACTCCAACTTCATCTTGTGCTGTGAGTACTTGGCATGAAGTGTCCCAGCGTCCATGTCCATGTCGATTTGTGCCCTCACGGTATGGGCCTACTCCCACACAGCCGACAGTTGTATCTGCCACCTACGTGCACCGAGGCGATCTTCGGTGACATCTGCCCCCAAGTCTTCCGTATAAGAGTCAGTCCAAATCGAGCCGGCATGCGCCGCAGCTCAGCAGCGTCGTTGATGAGGATGGCTCGCTTAGGTCCAATGGACCGAATCTTGACGGAAAGCGTCGAACTGCGACGGGCTCTGCCGCTGCTCTTCCTTAACTCCTTGGGGCAGATTTGGGAAGAGCTTCCTGAGCTCTGCCGCCACCTTCAGCTCTCGCTGCTTGCAGGCCTGGTTCAACGCCTTTCAACGTGGAGCCCTCGAACTCAGCTTGCAGGCCTCCCTTTTGCTTGATTCATCTCGTGATGCCGCAGAGAAACCGGTACCGAGGGACGACGCCGTCCACGTCGTAAGTTCTTGACGATCTGTCTGCGTCCTCGATGATGTCGTCCACCTCTGGCCATAGGCGATCGTCATGCCTGCTGGTGAAGCCATAGCAGAAGCCGTTGATCTCGCCAGATCTTCTCGAAACTCCATCAATAAGCATAGACTGTGAGTTCGAGGAGGCATTCAGGCCCCAGTTCTTGTGGTCCTTTATGAGGCCGAACGCGTGGAAGATGAGAGGCAGCATGCACTTCTTGGGACCGTGGCACCAGTTGATTCTCTCGAGGTCGTCATCGAGACTTACGATATATGTACCTGGCGGGTAGGACTTGGCGATCTGCACGCGCTGGGCTCGTATTCCCCGCACTCCAACCTGATCGCCAGCTTGGCGAGAAATGCCTTTCTTCGACTCGCATTGCTCACGAATGGCCTAACTCACCATCCCAAAGTCTGCAACACCGTCCTTGCCGAGGAACGCATAGCAGGCACACACGACCTCTTCCTGAGGGGTCTCGACCCAGTCAAGATGGAACGACTCCTCGTCGAGTCGAATGTCTCCAAGACTCAGCTGCTTGGGCAGGTCCAAGAAGGTTCTTCCGTCGGAAGACGTCTCTCCCCTGTGTCTTGCTGCCGTCCTTCCTTCCTGATCCACAGAGTCACGCGCCCGGGCTCGATCTTAGAATCTTCTGCTTCTCCAGCAACGCCAGGGCGTTTTCTACGAGGATCAAGGGCCCGAGATGCTGGGTGGCCGAAGAACGTGGTGACGAAGCTAAGCCCTAAACCCTAAACCCTAAACTCCAATAAACCGCGAGAAGCCTGGCTTCTAAGGATTGTTAATTCAATTCTCAATGACGGCAAGAAAGGCCCGGCGGCACATACCCAGGTCGATGATGGTCGTATGGTTTAGGGGTTAGGCTGTATAGGGTTTAGGATGGTTTAGGGCTTACGGGCTTAGGGTTTAGGGCTCAGGGGTATTTGGGTACATCGCAATGCCTGAGCATTCCATCTAAAGCAGCAGACCAGCTGACCGCTTGTCGCATCTGCAGGTTGCGCTTTCAAGCCCGTGGAGCACAGGGATTGACCTCGCTTGGCAGGCATGGCCGCTCTGTTTGATTCACTCATGTCATCCCAACTCAAGCTTCCAGGCTTGTACACATTGTACACGCCATAAATATTCTCTAGATCGCAGGGGGTGCTCGGCAATACCCTGCCAGCCAGCCACGTCTGGATGCGTCGCTCGTTCAGCAAATTTGTTACCATGCCGCACGTTGCCGGCACGACGTCCGACTGCCCCTCGCCCACGACTGAGCTAAAGTATGCAAAGGCTGCGATGCCGACACGTTTGCACAGGTCCATGTCCTCCAAACCTGAACCAAGCATGTCTGGTGTGCGGGAACTCGAGATTCGGATTCATGGCGCTCATGCGACGCCAGACGTAAAGGTTGTTCGCCCCAATATTTGTGGAACTTGGTCAAGACTCGTGGCCATCGGTTGTTGATGAAAGTGGCGACTTTGCCCGCACGTGTTTCCAGATTGGCCAGAACGTTGTCACTGAGGTCAGCGCTCCCGGCATCTATGCACTGAAGGCCAAAAGCGATGTGAAGTGAGCGTGGCCAAGATCGCATGGAAGCAACCGTCTGTTTGACGATTATCGGCGAAAACAATGTTTCACGTCCAACTCGTCTGGCTTGGATCCGAGGGGTCTCCTCTGCAACAACGGCACTTTGGTCGAACTGCTACAGCGCTGCTCGCCCCTGTTTCCAGCAAGGTCCGGGCCTTTCAGCAGGCGAACCTCTTCTTGCAGCTTGTGCATCAGTCGAGGCAAATCAGATCCTGCACACTGGAGAGCTTCAAGCTTTCGCGTGGTTGCCTTTGCCAAAATCACTCTTCGGTTCCTCCCCTGCGGCCAAGGGAGTAGGGGCCGCCTGCCTCAGGACGCAGTCGTTCTCGCATAAACGCTGCGGCTCATGGCTGACTTCCCCCAAAACCGAAGTCTTTGCCACACGACTTGCCCGCCTGCTTTGCACGTCGACGTCGGGAACCGCTTCGACTGTAAGAGGACGGTAGTCCTTCACAGAGCACAGAAAGGAGATGCGACGAGACTAGCACGGATGGACCTATCACACACTCATTCATGTCCCATTCATCTTCTCAGCTACGCCGAGCATGGTTGGTTTCACTGGAGCATGGCATCCTTCCAGGTGCCATCGAGGTTGATCGAGACACTCGGCATCTTGCCCGGGCTCGACGTGGAGGCGCCACGCCGCATTCCACCTCCTCACGTGGAACCGTGCATCTTTAAGCCTTCCTTCCAACTTGCTAAAGCTCTGGATTTTTTTCAGAGGATTTGCAGCCGTGGCACGTCGCACAAAGAAGCCCGTATGTCGGTTCCTGCTGGGTTGTGATCCAATGGCACACGAAACGGCATGACACTTCTGCACTCAGGCTTCTGTGACGGTCCCAGTCCCTTGAGTCCCCTCGGCTGCATTGCTGCTCTGCCCGGATGTATCTTGCCAGTTTGTACTGCAGGAATACCAGAATTCTGTCCTCCTCTCCTCCTTGACGGCCTCTTCGGGATCCGTTCCTCAACGACACGGCTTGTAAGGCTTGGGGTCGAGGGCTTGAGAGCTCCACGATGCACTCGTTACTCACCCGTTGCATGCAGGGCTCTCTGCAGCAGAGCACGGCGATTCGCAGCAGCTTTGTCCAAGATCTCTGGCACATCCTCGCTGAGTGCTTGCTCACAAAATTCAAACCCTAGCTTTTGCATGTTCGGGATATCCGACTTCTCTGGGACCTTCCATACTCGGAATCTCATGGGATGGTGCCTGCTGCCCAACCAACTCCCGAACAATAGGTTCTACCCCATACTCCTAATTCCCATCATCACCCACATGAGTCATGATAGCAAACACCACAATCCTCAAACAACTCGTAAGACCTCTCCGCAATGTCCTGGCCCAAAAGCTTGAGGAGGGTGCAGAGCTCCTGCGCCTGGCCACGACGACTTTCCCTCATACTTCAACTTTCGGCCTTTAAGGGTTTTTTTTGTTAGGGTTTAGGGTTTAGGGTTTAGGATTAGGGTTTAGGGTTTAGGGTTTAGGCTATAAGGGGTTTAGGGTCAGCTGTGCACGAATCAGGCTCTTCCGAACTCCGGAGCTTCAAAGCTGCTAGCCCAATCACCCACGGCAGAATGAGCCTGCAGCAGATCCTCCTTCCAGCTAACTTGGAGGAAGTTTGTGTTCTCACTCTGACAGTGCAACAGAGGGACAGGTCTTCCACAGATTGGAAGCCCGCTGTTCGCCGCAGACGGCCATGATTACGCTAAGCTAGGTGTTTTTGAGCTTTTTCTGCGCTTGAAGTTAGAAGTCGCTGGGCCTAGAAACTACAACTGCCGAAGCTGCAAAATCCTTCTCAGCTAGAAAAGCCAAACCAAGACAAAACGCTCTCTCACAGAAATGACTCTCTGCATAAAAATTCAGACACATCCGAACAGAAAACCTTGTCCTTATGAACACACATTGACGACACACCAAGCCAAACCAAACCAAGCTGAGCAACACTTTTTCAAACTCGACCTCTCACCTCTCTTGTCCAACGAACCTGGCTGCCGCAAACCCGCTCTAGCAGGGAACCCGTCTGTTGCAAAAACGGCATTGCAACACATAAGTACTCGGTCTGTCGCCCAACGCGTCGTCGTCGTCGTCGTCGTCGGTCGGAGTCGGAGTCGGAGTCGGAGTCGGAGTCGTCGTCGTCGTCGTCGTCGTCCGCCGTTATCGTCGTATTCGTGATGTTTCGTGCTAGTCTCTACGCTCTCAGCACCACTACTACTACCACCCACCACCACCACCACCACCACCACCACCACCGCAACGTGGAGGAGCACCAGTAAGCAAAGGAGTAAGAATGAGAGTATGACAGCAACAACAATACTGCCAGCAACAGCACGAGCAAGAGTACCCTGGATGATTGGGCGGACTCCTGGCAGAGGAAGCTCAGCGCTGAGCCAGGACCGGTGGATCGGGCCGCCAGGCGAAGTCTCTGCCTGGGAGGCTCTGCACATGTCTAGGCCTCGCTGGAGGGTCGGGAAGGAGGGTGAGGCTGTTGCTGGCATCGTTTGGTTGGTTTGGGGAGCCAATTATGTCGAGAGTGTGCTAAGAGTTCGTAGTGTCAATTCCTGCGGCCATCAGTTCACTGCTTTCAGCCCCCAATGCATCGGGAGCTAAGCAGACATGGCAAGCTTTTGGAGGAGCACAAGCATGGATCCAAGGCGCAAGTACTCGAAAGTTGACGTGGGCATGTCGTAGTTCAACAGGAACTTCACCTGTGCTTGTCGGCTTGATGCGCATGACTCGTGAGCAGAGTATGCCACGCCTTGGGAAACTGGAAGCCGCGGCCAAGCATCGTGGTGGCCTCAGTTTCGGGCTTCTTTGAATTCATGATGCGGGACGTGGGAGAATCTGTTCTTCTGAGCGTTGCTTCCTCTTATTTTGCGCCTCGCTGGCAGAAGATCCAGCTGCAGAGGACGGCTGTTTACCGAGGCTACAGTAGCTGGCTATTTGGAGAACCCACCTTCAGAGCTACATGCTGGACCATGCAGATCTCCCGATCATTGCAGGGATCTGACGAAAATAGTGGACATTCAATCGGCTCCTGCGAGCCAGCTGCACCATCAGGGGCATGCGCAGCCGTGTTATGTGCGCATCTCCGGAGGTGAACCCTTCCAAGCCATGGGAGCCGGCGATGGATCTCCTGGACCTCGGCATGTTCACTGGCTGCTCCCAATCACAGTACACCGGACATACACGAGGAGCGGACCGTCCTTTGCTGACTGCTCTGGTGGCTGAGATGTGTCGGTGTCTGGAGGATGATGCTTTAGCTGCTGGGTCGTCGCACGCAGCTCCTGTAAAGAATCATCAGCCAGATCAAGTTCCCAAAAACCATCGCAAGGCCGCATAGGCTCCTGGAGGACAGCCACGTGGCGCTTCTCGGCCTCATACTCTTTTATCAGCTGAGGTGCATCTGTGACGCGAGTTAGATCATGATCTGCTTCCAAGGACAAGGGGCGCTCGAGCGCACGGCGCCGATTTCACTCACAACTTTGGACTGAGAGCTCTCGAGCTTTGCAAGACCTCAGCCGCTCAGCTCAGCGCACCCAAAGCCACATGCGGGGCGCGAGAGGCTCATCAAGCCAACTTCTGCACGGCGGCGCTGCTCCAGAATTTCTGCTTTAGCGGCCATCGCTTTGATGCCTTCAGCACTGAGGCGTCAAAAGGCTCGCTAAGAAAAACAGCCATGCGAGTGTCGACAGAGTCCTGGAGCGTGCCAGAAGGAACCACTTATCAACACAGCCACAACCAGCATTGCTCCCTGTCACCCCTTTCCACCTCTCAGTTGTTTCACTTCGCTGCCCGAGAGAAAGATCGCGAAAGTTAGCTCCCAATGCTGCCCGGGGACGCTCCTCCGCGGCTTCGAGCTGCGCAGAGGCTGCCGGAGCCATTAAAGGCGTTTTGGGGGTGGCTGGAGGTATGGCCGGTGGCTTTTCCTTTGGTGGCACTTCTCCTACTTCCAAGCCATCGAGGCGGAGGCTCAGGCTCTCCAGATTTTCCTCCGACGCAATGCTTGCAGAGGCTTGCATGCACCAACGTCTCTTTGCGGCCCAGCGGCAGAAAGTCTGTTCATTTCCTCCCTCATCTTGCTGGAGGATTCTCTTTCTGCCTGGCACATGCAAACGATCCCGATCCCGGGCTCATACGTGAGCCCGAGAGTAAAGTTGTACATGCAGACAACACAGCCACACAATGTTGAGTCAGCTCCGCATGCATCTGCTTATCGAAGGATGGCGGGATTGCCTCCAATGCCTCAACCCGTGCGCTGAGCTTCAGCAGGAGGGCTGCATCTCCGGAGGCCACTGCTTTCTTGTCCTGGGAGCCACCCTGACAATCCCTGTGCCCTCCACCTTCGCAACCTCCCAGACCGTCCTTGTCGCCCTCCTCTTCTTGGACATTCGAGTCCGCGGGCAGCCGCACATCTTCCGGAGGGGCACTTTGGCCCAAAGCCTTTCGTGAGCTCCCAATAGCAGTCCCGCCGCCCAAAGCAAGACCCCAAACAACAGCCCTCTCTATCATTATCATTATCATTTTCATTATCATTAGCATTATCATTATGTGTTGTTATTATTATTACTATTATTACTATTGTTATTACCATTATTATTGTTATTATTATTATTGTTATTGTTATTATTATTATTATTGTTGTTGTTATTATTATTATTACTATTAGTATTACTATTATTGATATCTGTCTTTCCGGGCGAGTTTTCTGCCGCTCCATGGTTTCATAGGCTCATGGGCTGGCCTCGGATGCTTCGGCTTCCTCTGCCTTCGACTTCATCCTGCGGAACTTTATCTTCTGTGCCTTCGGCAAGAAGTACCACCTCAGCTTTTCTGAGAGTTCAGGGTTTAGGGTTTGGGGTTTATAGGTGAACACCGGAGATAACGCAGACTTCCAGAAAACACTCAGGTAGCATCCAGACCGAGACACTCCAGCCAGGATCGACGTCTTTTGACGTCGAAGAAGGCCAGGAGGTCCTTCACGTGCACCGTCTGGCCGATGGCCATCAGATTTGCAAACTGACCTTACTTGATCTCCAAGCCTGCATCTTTAATCTGCCCTGCACTGCCACCTCTCTCTCCTTTCAATAGCCCTTAAGTACAGAGCGACCTGTCAACTGACAAGACATAGGCTTCGTCTCCCAAACCATGTTCAAGGTCTCCTATTCCTTCTTCCAGGTCACTGCAGTGCATCCCGGGTTTCGGTTTCTGCTCCGCATCGCGCTCGCAGTGAAAGTGGCCTTCGTCAGCCAGCTCCCTGCAAAGTCGTTTGGGCGACAGATAATAACAATAATCATAATAATCATAACAATGATAATGATAACGATAATGATAATGATGATGATAATGATAATGATAATGATAATGATAGAGAGTTCACACATGTAGCGTGGAGTAGCTTTGGCTGAAGTCCAGAAACAAGCGCCTGAGCATCTCGTACACGTGGTCTCCGAAGCTGTCCTCGGCTTGCACTGCTCTGAGCCCTAGGCCCTAGTGACTTGAGTGATTCGAGCAGGAGATGTCAACGTCCCATCGAACCACATCTCATATGTTGGGTGGGACAACTGAGCCTGCGTCGCTGATTCTGTCCAGCGCCGTGCTTTGCTCCGCAGTTGTGCAAGCAACGATCTTGCGCAGCTCTTCTTTCAGCCTTTCTTCCTCGATGCCTGCCAAAGCACATGCAAAAGCACCATACATCTCTTGTAATATTATTATTATTGTTATTATTATTATTATTGTTATTATTATTATTATTATCATTATTATTATTGTTATTACTATTATTATTATTATTGTAAGCACCCCTGTCCCCCAGCCACTGAGCCTGATTTGTCTGGGCTCCGAAGTGCCGCAAGGGCCAGGGAGTCCGAAACCAGCCGGAGGCCGAGCTGTGCGACCCGCGTCGGGAGCTTGAAGGTCTGCAGTTGGAGAGCACCAGAAGAACAACAAAAGCAGCAGAATAATGCCAACAACAAGAATGAAATCATATGCATAAGAATACAAAGAAGAATAACCAATACAATACTAATGTTGTTAAACAACAGCACAACATGCCGCGTGCTCCATGCAGGCGCCTCCTCGGATGCTCGCTTGTAAACGCTGGAGAGGTTTCCCAGGCACATGTTGGCAAACGCCATCGTCACCGCCTGCGGCACCTTCAGCAACACCTCAAAGAGCACCAGCCATCAAGGAGAGATTGGCAAGGAAAAACCATTTCAAGCATCGCTTGGAAACTCAAGCAGCCTCTTGCAGCCCAAGGAACAAACAGAGAAACGAGATTCAACAAGATGGCAGAGAGAGATGGCATCCTGTGGTGGCTGCTTCCTCTGCCGGTGTCGATGCGAAATCTCGACCTAGATAGGATAACGTCGTTGATGCCATCCATATCTTGGCCAACTGCTGTGCCCTGCAGCTCTTCAATCGACATGATGCATAGGGGAAGTTCGGGGGTCGGGGCGACATAGGTGAAATTCTCCCAGTTGAGTGTGGAGGAGAGGTCATAACCTTGGTTGCTTTGGTCTTCGGTAGGCATCAGCAATTACACTCGCCCTTTGTTTCATCAACTCTGCTGAGGCACCATCATTGTAGCAGTTGACTTCTGCATAGAACTCTCCTCCCTGCATGATGGTCTCGACGTTCCACTCACGCCCAGCGAGCACCAACTGATGAAAGCTGCACAGTGACTAGTCGCATGTCGGTAACATCGTGCAGTAAGAGAGAACCGCTGCATGACTCGAACTGCTTCCCTACCATCCACGGGAACTCGTGACAATGGTGCAAGCAAGGCACAATATCAGCTGGAGTGAGGTAAACCTGCTCGTGCATTCAAGGATGCATATACCCTGGCATGCACTGCAGCATTGAGCGCCCCTTCTGCAGCTCATTTTGCCTGGTGCACACTTGATGGCAAGGGATTTTGGTGTCAGCAGCAGTGGAAGCGCTAAACTTGAAGCCGATTCGAGTGGAAGAACCTGCCCTTCCGGAAGGAGGGCTCGGGGGCGCCGCAGATTCGCGCACTGACGCCGCGGATTCATGCGCCCTGCGCGCTGCGGCTGCTGATTCACTCCCGGCTTTTCGAGCACTGGCACGGAGCATTACTGCACTGGGGCTGAAAGCCTCGGATTCAGACACCACGGATTCGTGCACTGATCGCGCAGAACGTCTTCGCGAGCGCCGACATGTGTTGGCAGGAGATTCGCGCACGGATGCTCTTGAATGGTGGATTCTCACTGGAATTTAGTGCGGTGCCCTGCCTGAAATGCCGAACCCAACCACCCGCAAATCAGCAGGAGGAAGCTATCTCTTCGTTCCTGGACTCGCCCCTACACCGTAAGTAGGCCAGGGTTTCATGTGGAGTGTGTGGAGAAGCAAACATCTGGCTGGGTCGGTGCCAGCGAAACCAGCCATGGAGCAAGATAAATCGAGGGTGGTTGACAACTTGCTTGATTGAAGATCTACGCTTTCCATGGCTAAATGTCGACATGTGGGTTTGCCTTCTCCTGCGGATGGAAGAAGTGTTTCACCTCCTCCCTTCCGTTGATCATGGCCTCAAGTCCACCCGGAATCGGCGGAAAGGAGAGGTGAGATGCATCTTGCAGCCGAGAGACTGTGTAGGCGTCCCGGTGACCCTTGCGGCCGCCAGCGGACTCGTAGAGCCCAAAGAAGAACCTAAGAGGAACTCTGGCATTCGGCTCTTGGCGGAAAACACGGAACTTGTGGGTGTTGCTCATGCCAAGGTACGGTGCCGCCTGAGTCATTTGAAAGATGTAGGTGAACTCCACCCTTGCATATCTGACGAGAGGATGCATCATTATCCACAGCGGCTGCGGTCTGCCCGTGATTAATCCTTGGATGCAAGAGGCTCAGAGGCTCGAGACTCTGCTTTCGTGCCGAGCCCCGCACCTCGCCCTGTGGCAGTGAAGGGCGTAATGGTGAGCGTGCGACTGCCTGTCGAATGAACTGCCCAATCGGAGTTATGCTCAAGCGAAGGCGAGACTGCTACAGATACCATTCAACGCACTGCTCAATTCTGTATTTTCTCCTCTAAAGCCAGTCGCGCAAACCGGCAGCTGTGTTGCACATGCTGCAGAAAAGACTAGTGTAAAAAAACTCCAGTGTCGTCACGTGGCGGCTTTGGCAGCTGGACGCTTAGCTGGCGTAGCTGAGCCCTGAGCTGCACTCGCTGGTCAGCACTTTGGAACGGTATGTCTCCGAACACCGCCGCTGACCTCGTCGTGTCAAGCCTCTGCAAGTCAGGAACGCAAGACTGTCGAGGTCCTGTTTGACGTGTAACCATCCGTGGATGACCTGCTCATGGGTCCACGCGCTGCCATCCGTGAGCATCAAGGTCTCCCAATTTGGGTTTGGTCTGGAAAGCACCCTGCATGACTACATAGCGGTTCGAAAGTTCCGCCACGTTGTCATGCCTATCTTGAGCACATCAGAGCTGGCAAAACTCATGACACGGATGAGGCCCATGCTGTCTATGGGCTGGTCGGCATGGGCCCCATCTATGTCATGAATCTTGCAACCTCTGACATGCTCAAGATAGGCATGACAAGGTGGGGGAACTTTCGAACCCGCTGGGTAGCCATGCAGGGTACCTTCCAGAAGCCCAAACTGGGAGACATTGTTGCTCACAGATGGCAGCGCGTGGACCCATGAGCAGGTCATCCACGGATGGTTACACTTCAAACAGGACAGTCTGGTGTTCCTGTCTTGCAGAGGCTTGTCACGACGAGGTCAGCGGCGGTATTCCGAGACATACCGTTCCAAAGTGCTGACCAGCGAGTGCGGGCTGAGGCAGGATTTTGTCCGTGAAGTGGGTGAGCTTTGCTAGGCTGCCTTTCTGCGCCAGCAAGGCCTGCTCGTCCTCTCGTGTCAGAGTCCCTTTAAGCACCTGTGTGCGGTTCATGAGGGAGTTCAAGAACTGCAACAATCCTGCATAGGAGTCTTCCGAAATGAGCAGCACCGGCTTTTCGGGGGTCGACTCTTGCTTGACATGTTCCAAAGGAGGTTCTTGAACTTCTGAAGCAGGTGCCGGCTGAACTGGTGTTGGGCGACTCTCTTGCATAGGCCTCGGCCCATGCGCGGGCCTCCTTCTCCTTCTTCCGAAGCTCTTTCTCTGTCTAGTTCGGCCTTGTGCGGGTCGCACCCTTCCGCATCACGTAGCGAAGATACCTCTGCATGTCGCCCCCCGCGACCTGCACTGCTTCCTCCTTGGGGCGGGATAAGCTCACATGCGGGTTTTGAGGGACGGGGACGAGATCCTGGCTGGCCATGTGGCCCGTGAAAGAGATGTTTTCTTCGCTCGTCCTCTGCTTCTTCTTCGGCGGAACTTGAGGTGGCGATTTCGCAGCTGTCATGCGGCCCGTTGCGGCAACCGTCAGGCGCTTCGAGAGTGGAGCTGCCTGCTCTGCTGTCTTCTCCAGACGGTCGAAGCCTGGGCCGAAGATGCATCGCATTCAGCCCCGTCCGCTGCGTGCTGGGTCGCAAGTATGTGGTGGAATCGAGTCTGCGGAGACACATCCGCAGCACTTTCGAAGTGCGAATTATGCCGGCTCATGGGTCTGATGGCTCCAGGATGCCAAGCGCAGGTTGAATAGCTGCAAGGGCAAAAATTCCCCCCTTTCTCAATTGCATTCTTTTCACGCTGCAAACCTAGGAACATGCTGCACGGACACAGCCGTCCTCCCTGTTGGCATGTGCACATGCATATGCTCAGCTTGCAGCAAGCACCCTGCCTGACTGCTGAAAGACGCTCGGTGGCAAGAAGCAGCTGGGATCAAGAGCTGCACCCAGTGAACAAAGCCTGCTGCCTAGCGAGAGAAGGGCCGGAAGCATGATCCGAAATCCCAAACAATCATAATCAGTTCAAGCGGCAACCCAGCATTACTTGTACTTGCATCTGCGACATGATGTCCTCATTCGTCAGCTCCTTACCGGGGGTGCTTCGGGAAAAGTGCCGGAATGTCGAAAAGCACATCGCTTGCCATCATCTTAGCACAGCCGTAGTTCTTCGAAGACAGAAATTGAGCATGAGAGGGACAGACTGAAGAGACAAGGTTCCAAGCAGAGGCCCTGATAATACAGGGAAGAGTTGTGGCACCAGTAAGGCCCACCGGTCATGTTCCGACACCAGAACGCGATTGACGGCTCGGGATCGAGGAGCGGATCAGCATTAGCAAAGGGCCTAGGTTCTCCAGGGCAATGCAGACCTCTCCTCAGGCGAGCACAAACTCACACCAGCATCCGGCTAGGGCTGCAGCAACGCGTCGAGTGCATCGACGTGGAGCATGAGGAAGGGTGCATTTCCAATGACTTCTGTGTACTGCTTTTGATACTCGAAGATGAATATTGCCTCAGCTGGAGATTGGCCGAGCGCGAGCGCGGGAGCGAGCACTGCTACAAGAACCGACACTTCCGGCCCTCATTCAACTCACATGTGCAAGAGGGCGGCATAACCAAGAATGGGAAGGTGAAGGAAGTAGTAAAGGGCATTTAGCTTCCAGTGCTCGAAGACGACTTTCTTCTGAGCCTGGGATGAAGTGAATGCTGTCCTGTAGCCGTATTTCAAAACAGTGTTGACCAAGGCACATACACTTTGGGGAGCAGGTTGCTCAGGACCATGGCTCAAGTCAGGCTTCTGAGGCGCATGACACGAGTGCCAGCATGAGGTCTTGGAGAGACCGAGAAGACTGTGTCCGACAGATGTGGATCACTGATCTTCCTCTAGCCTCGAGTTATTGGTAATTACTTCGAGTCATCGGCTTGGCGGCTGCATGGCAGGATGAAGTCATTGCTGCAACACAGCAACGTCAGGCAAGGACGGCATTTACAGCCGGAGTTATGGATAAAACCGAGACGGCAGGATAAAAAAAGAGAGCGAGGTCCTGGCGACAAGCACGGAAGGCCTCTCCATGTCCAGGAGCCGCTCAGAGGCTGCGGCCTCCGACGCTTCAGAGATGGAAGCGGCAGAAGCGACAGCGGCCCCGTAGCAGCAACTTCAGCTGAGATGCCCAGGGCATCTGCTCGTGCAGTGCTATGATGCCATAGTCTTGCGAGTGCCCCCCAAGCTGCTCTGCCACCTGGCGCTCACCAGACCAGACAGGCAAGCCGACGGTCCCACATGGTCGCGTCCGGCCTTCTCAACCGTCGCCTCATTGTTGCAGAAAACAAGGGCCAAACAGCCACCTTTCGACAGGACAAGCACATCAGCTTTCCTCAAAGTGCAACCCGAAGCCCTTCAGCCCCTTTCCTGCCTTGCAGCTTCAGAAGCCCGAGAGCCTCGCGGAGCGCATCCGGCCTCAGTCGCCGGCGAATGCTCTGTGCAGACCTAGTGCCGGAGCCGAAGAAAACAGAGCTGGTCGGGCGCTGCTGTCGTTCCATTTTGTATAATCTTGGTTGCCAGTTGTTCTAGACTCAGTCGGCTGCGGCCGGACCGTGACTCCCAGGCCAACTCTGGCTTTCATGGACGTTTGCTCTTGGAGCCCCGCAAGAACCTAGCTTCATGATGTAGCAGGGCCAGCTTTGTGGCTCAAAGCAAAGCCAAGGTCTTTAGGAATGTCTTGGAGCGGCTACTTGTAGGCTTCGGAGATGTGGCACAGCACAGCCCAACGGCAGAAGCAGCAAAAACAACCGGAAAAGAAAAGCAATGCCACGACCTAAGCATGCAGAGTTGGAGTCATGATACTGCATATACCCGAGCCCTGCGGAATGCGCGGCCAGATCAGGCACCACAGACCGTTTTCCATCCTCTGCAACCACCAGCTCACAAATCTCACAACGGCATGGAATGTGAACGGGAGGTTTCAGGCTGAGGAGCATCTCCGAGGCCATGGAAAATGCATGGAAGATGCAACTTTGCGGCAACTGTACAGCCGGCCCCGGAGGCTCAGCCTTCTTGAAGATGTGTCTCTTTCCCACAGTGCGGCTCAGTGCACTTGAAGTGTGCGTACTGCTTGGAGAGTCGCCTTGGCCAAGAGACCCAAGGACTACACTAGAGGCGTCCTTGCCATGCGGTTTGGCATCCCACGTAGGCGACGGACGCAGCCCGGCCACTTCCGGCTCGCCCTGTGTTCACAAAGGCCTTGCCTCCGCACCTCAGAACCGATACAGCCGATGAAGCATCCGATGCGGGTAAAGACTGTGATGATCAGTGGCTTTGCTGCAGTTAAATGCAAGTACAACCTCGACTGCTTTGGAGGACTCAATTGCCGACTTCCCCTGTTCCCGCATGCTTTCATGCTTGGGCCGCGACTCGGGGCATCGGGCCATCTGACCACCTCAAAGGTCAAAAAGGGTCAAAAAGGGGCAAGACTCAGACACGTTGGCCCAGAGCATGGCGTTTCTTGGCTGCACTCTGCGAAGCCGAGGGGCTGGGCATCTTGGCCTCCTGCAAGGACTCGAGCGCCCAACGCTGACGCTTCGCCTGCACGGCCGAGCACGCCCACTCGCGAGGGTCCTGCGTGTGGCAACATCATATGCTCAGAAGCTGTGGCGCAGTTCAAACATTCCCCGCCTGCTGCGCGATTGCCAGGGCCCCGGGTGGGCCGGCAGCCAGGATGTCCTTTCGCAGCGCCTCTCATCGCATCGTCCCGGCCCCCACAAGTGCCGGATCAAGCGAGCCGCTGAGATCGGGCCTCATTGCTCTTCAGGGAAGCAGAGAGTGCTAGCAAGCGCCGGCGGGCACCGCCGCCGTGAAGTGCAAAGAAGGCCTGCCGCTGGATACCGCATTGCCAGGGTCTGTTGTCTTTGTCTAAAGCAGCAGCACTTCCCCGACCCTCCCGGCAGTGTTACGTCATGCATCTTCTGTCGCACTTCCAATTCACGGAAGGCCAAGGGCTTTGCCCCGGACGTCCACTGCTGCCAGGCATTTGCCGATGCCCCGTCCAGAGGCTGCAGGGCCTGCAAAGCTGTGCGGAGATCTGGTGCAAGCGGGAGGGCCATCTGCAGAGCCTCACCGTTCTCACCCAAGCCAAGCACGGCAATCCGATATCGGAAGAGGAATTGGCGGCAGGACATGCCCGGTGGGCTGGCACGTTGGGATTCATGGGACCCGTACCTGTGATCACCTACAACAGGATAGCCCTGATGCGACAGATGCACTCGGATCTGGTGCTTGCGTCCTGTAACAATGGATGCGGCCACGAGAGTGTACACTTCACCCCCGTGTCCACGGAGCCAAGCACAGGGCAGGATGTGAGTCTCTGCGGGCAAGCCATCGGTCGACACGATGCTGCCGGAAAGCGGGATTCCACGGATGCCTTGGCGAAGAATCCTCAGCCCCCATGGTATTTGACCATGGCAAAGCATGATGTACTCGCGTTCCAGGGCCAAGGTCTCCTGCAGCGGACAGATGTGAGCACAAAAACTTCTTTGCAAGACCTGGGGAACTTTCTGTTCTCTTCGTCTAACCTACCATGCCCCACGCCCACCCATGCCCGATGCACTGCCCGATGCACTGCAAGTCCTGCTGCATCCGGAGCGCGTAGTAGGCCTGGTATGTTGTGGCAGCCAGCACGATCCCTTCGGACGGCAGGTCCAAGCGTCCCAGAAAGCCAAATCCGCATGCGAGGTCCCGCAGCACTGGGTGAAGGGAGCGATCGCGCAGAAACGAGGACAGCTGAGGATGAGACCCTGGCCGTTGCGTTGCATCCCGACCTCCGTCAACCTCCCACCCAGGCGGCTTGTGAAGAAACAAAATGCCTTTGTCGTTGAGAAGAATTCTGGGTGTTTGCTCTCCATCTCCATCCGGTGACGAAACAGCATCTGCGCTAAGGGTTCCGTCAGACTTCGAGGACGCCAAGTCCCAGCGTCGTCCCACTCCCACAGCCAAGCTGGAAGCCAGTGCCAGCAAAGGCTCTGCAGGAACCTTTGCGAAGGAGAAAGCCCATGCCAGCTGAAGCAAGGGATCCAAGAGCTCCCTGTGCACATCTGCCTTGGCCCAATCCAAGCTGCCGAGTTGCTCCAAATGAAACCGGACTTCGCTGCTTGCAGCGGGCATGACGGTGTCTTCCAAGAAGCTCACACTGAAAGTGAGGGTTGTCCACGACCAGGCGACCGAAGCCAAAGCTCGTAGATTCATACCTTTGCAGCCTCTGCTCATCTCAGGGAACTGTTCCGACCACCCAGGACACGTGAAACGAGCAGCAGCCATGGACCATGACACAGCTGCGAGTTCGGTCGCCGAGAACTTAGGCTGAGAGAGGACAGCATCGCCGAGGTCGGTCCACAGCCCTTGTGCCATCTGCTGTGAGTACACGACTGTTGCAAAAGCCCAGCACGTGTGGGCAAGCTCCTGCGAAGAAAAGCTCCGTGTGCGGAGGGCAGTCGATGTTGCTGCTGCAAATCTGGTCCTCGGTCAGAGTGGGTGAAGGGTGAACGAGGGGAGTGAGAGCCAGTGGAGTGGAGACTTCGTGCATTTTAGCCGGATTCTCGGGCTTTGTGGGTGGGTCCCGGAGGCTTTGTGCATCTCAGACACCAGAATGGCCCCGTCTCTGCGAGGGTCGCGAAGGCCCAAGCAGATGCAGCCAGAGACTTCGGGTGAAGCTGACGCAGCGCATGCTCCGACACGACGGTGAGCACGGAGAGCCGGTCCTTGCGGCCCTCGAAAGCCGCCTTGGCCGGCGCTGCCACGGCCAGCGCCCAGAGCACTGCCGCCGCCTCTTCGGCTCGCAGCTCCGGAGCGCGTGCTTCTGCCACCTGCGCCGCCGTTCTCTGCATGGCCCAACCTTCAGAAAGCCGCGCCGTCGCCCAGATCACATTGGCAGCAGCTTGCGTGGAGCAGGTGGAAAGCTTGGAGAGAATGGACACATCAGCCTCAGCCAGCTGGAGCAGTGGCTCTTGGTCCTGCCGTAGCGATGCACAGGCCCAGAGTGTGTTGGACACTCCCTGGGCCGACATCTGAGACATGGCAGCCAGGGCATGACGAACCACGACTCTCACATGGCTCTGCACTCTTAGCGAAGCGAAGGACCACATCGTCATTGAGAGACCCTGTGCATCCATGTCTGAGGCCCTGCTCGCCACAAGGCTCAGCAAGTCCTCCCTTGCACAGTCTGAGCCCAGGTCCCAAAGTTTTCCCAGCGACCAAGCCACTAAGGACAGCTGTCGAGGAGTCATTGCTGCCAGAATATCCGGGTCCCTCAGCTCCTTCAGCTCGCACAGCTTGGAGCCAGTGCTTGTGTCTTCGTGTCGCTTTGCACGCTGGTGCAGCCTCGTCACCGCCAGGGTCGCCCTGCTAGCTTCCCTGTTCGACCGGAGTGATGCTTCCACTGGCCGCCGTAGCCGGGCTGGCATCAGGAATCTGTCCCAGCCACTCGATTACTAGCATCTCACTGGCCCGGGTCAGCGTTCTACCTGAGCTCGCCCAACTGCAGATGACGTCGGCCTCCATCGTCATTCCACCAAGCAAAGGCGCTGCGAAACGTCTCCATGTGGCATTCGTGCCATGCCGGCAATTCCGTTGCTCATGCCGGGACCACTCAGGATCTGAGACCTGCTTTGATTGAGCACTGTCGCGAATCACTCCTCTAACTCCTTTTGTTTGCTGAGCTACGGGGCGTCAGGACTGGCGAAACAATAGATGGATTGTCGACTGGTGAGGTCAAGGCCATCAAAGCTCTGTCTTGCCCTGTAAACCCCACCCGAAGAAGGTGCGCACAAAGTCGCTCAATGCAAGGCTGAAATGTCCCACCCCCTTTCAATAACTTGAATGTACAGTGGTGTTCAGTCCACGGCTCCTGGCCACGTTTGGATCGACACGGGGCCGCAGCTAATGGCTACCTTTTCTAAATCCTGACGAGAAAGGTGAGCTGGCCTTGGCAAGGGTTAGGGCAATGTCTTCGGCACCTTCCGCTTGGAGGAGGCCGGTCAACAGCTGAGCAGCCTGGCACGGCAGTCATCTCGCAGCATCTTCTAGCCTCCCTAGCTCTAGCCCTGGCATCCTGTCTGAAAAATTCCGGCCTTTTCGATGAGGGCGGGGTCTTCCCCTCCTGCACAAGATCCATGAGCCGAGCTTCCGATCACTGGACTAAGAGCTTACAAGGCTTGCTTGCGCGTTTGACGCCCTGGTCCTGGGCCGTTTTCTTCACCGGGCTTGGCTTCCGGAGTGCGCAGCTTCCGCAGGCGCCGGAGCAGGTCCGGGCCGGGCAAGGCCGCGTCCTCCGCCGCAAAAACAGCGTCGCCGAAAGCTCCCCCCCCCCCCCCCCCAAAGCCCCAAAGCCCCGGCTGCCAGGCAGCGCTCCTCGGGTTTGGGGCGCGGCCCTGGCCCGGACCTCTGACAAAAACGGCGGGTGGGAGAAGTCCGAAGGATGCGAAGGGCCCGGTGTTTGCCGGTGCCTTCGCCTCACTTCGGCGTCAGGGCGAAGGATGGCCCAAGGAAGCGGGACGCCGGTGCCAGGCCCGGACAACAGCAGTCCTGTCAGAGCATGTATGGCTACCGACGAGCAACCTGTGATTTCCTGCATTAGTGCTCTCCTTCATGGACAATCTTATTGCCGATGCGCTCAGCCTTCCACCTGATCTGTCGCAGGAGGTCCTGTCAAACGCTCTCTCTGGAACGTTGGCACGATTGAGATGTCGCACGAGAAGCTCTCTGTCATGAAGGCTGCCAACCAAAATGCCTACTGCGGGGAACTGCCGGGAACAGGAGCATATAGGAGCATCCTATAGCATCCTAGACACATTCTGATCGAGCTCCTCCTGCTTCTGTGCCCCATCACGCTCACGTTTCGAGCGCCTGGGCGGCTCCTGAGAGTGACATCACAGAGAGGAAGCAGAGACCTTCACTCGACCGCTCCTCTGCTTGGACAGAATCCACGGACGGTGCTGGCACTGTCGAGAGCGCTGGCTGCTCGGCGGGCACCTCGCCGCAGCCGCGCGGGGCCGCAGGTGTCTGCTGAGGGCTGACGGTTGCACGGGATCGTACGGGCCTCTTCGGCGGCAGCCTGATGCTCATGCTGGTCCAGCTCGAGTGCCGGGAATGTCTGGCCTCGGCCACTCAGACACAAATAAAAACAACAGAACGACTCCACGGCCCCCATTGGCAACCCTGTCTTAAACGCCTGGCCTGCTCCCAGCACTTTAGCAAACATCTCTCGAACATGGGAGGCGCCAGGTAGAGAAAGCAAGCTGATTATGCAAACAGCTTGACTCAGGCACACAAAGACTGACTCTGGAAGGCATACTGCGATGTGCGCACAGCTGGCGTCAAAGTCCTATGCTTAGACAGATTGCATCGTTTGCATGTTACAATGCTCCCTGCTTGGTCGTCAAACACAGGTAGTGCACCACACGTAACACTAACGCTTGTAATATGATTTCTGAGGCTCCGGAAACGACTTGAGCCGAACCAAAAGCCGCATCGGAGGAAATTCAGACAAACCCACATTCCACACACTTCAAAGCCGACTTCATCGACGATCCTGTGATCCCGGCTTGGCAAGCGGGTGAAGAACCTGCACCGACAAGATCTCTCACAAGGCCAACATGCTTAGCTTCTGGCCTTGAAGTGCTGCCTCACGAACCTGGATTCCAGGCAGTGACCTGGACTCTCTACGGGGATTCCCAAAGCAGAGCTAATGTACATGTTGATCTTGATGGCCCTTTCGGGTTGCCCGCTTTCAGCATTGTGCAAGCACTCGAAGGCCGCATGTATGATGACCGTGTCGGCTCGCAGGTGCCTGCTACATGAGTGATAACATTGCTGCGCAGCGTGCAATACAGCCTTACAACAGGACATAACCTGCTTGAAACATCTTGAAGAAAACCAGCGACTCGCACACATTCTGTAGGGTAGGCATCACACAGATCAACATGCAGTGATACGCATTGATGCATGTTCGACCACTAGCTTGTTGCAACATGCCACCCTCGGGGGCTTTGTGCAGAAAGGCCACGCTTAACAGCCCACAGCTCAAGGAAAAACAGAGAATGCTGTGGATGTGAAAAAAGGTGAGTTCAAATACTCAATTGCATGACGTGTCGGAGGCTTTGCAGAAAGGTCTCACTTTCATGCGCCACAGAGACCGCCCGGGCGGCTGCAGTCACAGAGAGCATCTCACGTGTTATGGCACTGCCATAACATGTGAAATGCTCTCTGTAGCTGCAGCTGCATGGGCGGTCTCTGTGGCACGGAGGACAGTGGAGACTGCCTGCGCGTGTCCCTTCTCTTGTGCTTCCAACATGCGCATGGACACCTCGAAGTTGGCAGCAAAGTTCCTCAAATAAACCCTTTTGTGCTCCTGCTTCTTGCAGACAAACGCGAAGAGCAACCAAAGCACCCGAGTGGGGTTTTCGTCCGGGACACTACCCCGTTGCCCCCGGAGCACATCGAATCGTGGAGGGAGCCACGTCGGCTGCATGCAAGGCAGAGAAGGAAATGCTGCAGTTCTGCCACGACGAACTCTTGACACTTTGCTGTATCATGTTTACGGCATAGAACATTCGCCGTTTCCTCGATGAGTTCCGGAGGCATGAGCTGGTTCCTGTGCAACAAGCTGAGCAGCAACGAAGGTGGCTGACCCTCGGCAGCAATCACCACGGCCGGGGCTTTGCTGATCGGGCACACTAAATTTGTGTACCTCACATGTGCGGTCAGGCAGGGCCTACTCGTTGGCGTCCGTTCCAGGCCCACACTGGAGGCTAAACCCTCCAGTGGCGGGATGCGATTGATGACAAACTTCTCCGGCCGTTCGCAGCGGAGCTGCTCGGACGATTGCCTGGCCTGGGCAATCGTCGCCTTCAAGCGCGCCAACGAACCCTCGCTCAGTTTAGGGTTTAGGGTTTAGGGTGTGTCCATGCGGTCGACAGCCTCCCAGCCATTTGGTCAGCACGCGGCGGCCAGGTCACGGAGAAGAACGCGAGCCTAGGTCGGGATTGATATTCAGTTGAGCTGTGTGTACCCAGCGGATTCACAGCACAATGTGCTAGGTCGCGTGCTGTCTGCGCTTAGGCAGCAACTCCAGGATCGTTCGTGCCTGCCGAAATGTCTGCACGCACAAGCACGCCAGCACTCTTTTTGTCACAGCCTGTGCGCCGTCGTCGTCCCCGTCCTGATCGACTTAAGATTGGCTTACTAGCCACGGGAGCTCCAGCAACAAGCAGGACCAGTCCTTCACAATGGCGTCCGCATCGTCAAACACAATCAACACATCCTCTCGGTGGGACAGCAGGTTCTCCAGCCGCGCAGCCGAGCACGCGCTCTTCGGGCTCAGAGCATTTTCACTCCGCAGCATGGAGATTGGTTCGTGGCTTCAGCCGAGCTAAGATTCCTTCTCGAAAAAATACGGCGTGGCTTCTGCATCGTATCCTCCCCGCTTGATGATCTCGACCCAGTAACCATCGGGATCACGGGCAAAGGCCAGGCCTTCAGTGTCATGTAAGAACATAGTACATAGGTATATGCAATATACAAAATACAGAGTAACACAGAATATCGAATATAAGGGCTCTGTGACAGTGCCATTTGTGCTGCCCGGGCCCTGGCCTTTCATGGATCCGCCATCTGGGGCCTTCTGCATCGCGTAGCCCGCGGCTTCCAGCCCCTTGCAGGTCTCATACACCTGCAAGCGAGAAGTAAGCAGAAGCACGAGGCACACATCAACAAAATAGAGACCACAAAACTCGGACCGTATAGTATAGTATAGTATAGTATAGTATAGTATAGTATAGTATAGTATAGTATGGTATAGTATAGTATAGGTGCAAGCCCAAAGTTCTGCTAATTGCCCGGGCCACGTCGTCGACCAAGAATCCGACATGTCCGAATCCCTTTCTGTCCGCTTCATTCCCACTGAGGTACGAGAATTCGGCCTCATCTTCTGTGCCGTGATTGTGCGTCAATTCCAGCACTGGCCTGCCTTCCGGAAACTCATTGGCGCCCTCAGGCACGGTGCCCAGATAGTACAAAGAAAAGTCATCGTAGTCCTGATGCGCCAGCAGCGTCATCCCCATGTGCTTGGTGTAGAAGTCCAAGGATTTCTTAGGGTCCTGCACCGCGGGAGACGTTTATGTGCATCGGCTCTTTAAGCATCCGATGCCAGAATCGGCTAGAAGATGCTAGAAGCCAGAGTGGTAGGGATATGAGTCTTCCTCTCAGCAGTAAGCTGATCCCGTCCTTCACACGCAGCATTGTCTGGGCGAGGGTGTGGCGTCCTGGAGCTCCACCCCTCAGCAGCTCGACCCAGTAGCCATCTGGATCCAATGCAAAGGCCAATCCCTTCATTCTCCCTTCGTCGGGCTTCTTCCTTGGAGGTTCACTGACAGTTCTACCACCTGTGAAAGCATGCCAACATTCAAAGATGTAAAGTGCACTCCGAGGGACTGGAATTTCACTCCCGTTTTCTCCAGCGCCGCACTCGTCTCGTAGACATCGTTCACAGAGAAGGCCACATGGCCGAAGCCATCCCGCCTCTGCCATTTTTCCGAAGCCCCCAAGCACCCTCCCCTCCACCGCCTCCGCTCTGCCTGGCCTGTCCCCCTCCCTGGGCTGGTTGCCAGGATGGTAGATGGCGCCCTCCTCTGCCTCCGTGCCATAGTTGTGCGTAAGCTCCTCAGGCCCAAAGTGCTGTGCCCTTTCCTGCAGTCTAAGGACTCATGTGCAAAATACCAGTGTATATATATATACATACATACATACATACATACATACATACATACATACATGCATACATATATATATATATACTATTCACCATATATAGTACATAGTATAATATTATATATTATATAATATAATATTATATATATGTTATATAATATAATATATATATATATAGTAGTGACAGGGCTCTATTGCGGCTCGGGCTCCAAGGTGGTACCCGGATAGCTCCAGAGGTACCGGTGCGCCTCCACAGAGCCCGGCTCCGGCGTCTTCTCGCCCTCCGGCACGGAGGCCAAGAAGTAGAGGGAGAAGCCCATGCTTTCAAAATCGAGCTTGTCCAGAAGCCTGCCAAAAAAAGAAGCCAGAACCGTTTGTGTTGTGGCGGTGTTTGCGGAAGAACATCAGGAACCAGCTTTCATCAACAGCCTACTTGCCCTCCTTCGGTTGACTTGAGGCAAGCAGCCGCATTCCCATCTTGTTCTTGTAGAAGTCGAGTGACTTCTCCGGATCCTTACATGAGCACAACTAAATTACTAGATCTCGCGCTGCACAGCAAACATGCACCCTCGTCCGACCTGAAGGCGGCCAGGGGTCTTTGATGCGAAGCATGCTCTGCTGCCAAGATGGCTTAGCAGAGCACGCTGTCCGAACCTTGCGTGCAACAACTCCAGCCACGGCGCATCCGACCTGGTGCTGTCATGGTTGAAGCTGCTGCAGCATTTGGGGTTAAGAAACATTCGGGCACAAGCCGGGCGACAACTGTGCTCCATGTCGGGGACGATGGGCCCGGAAGGCCCGAAGCTCGAACTGGTGGCGCTCTTTTCGTGGGCAGCGCTGCCCACGTCAAGCGTGGTGCGGCAAAGGCAGTGGCAAGCATCCTGGCTACCAAACGTACTAGACAACTATCGCTGCGAGGAAACCCAATGACCCGAGTCAAGACAAAGGCACCAAAGTGTGGGGAACTCTCTACCATAGAAGGAGCCAATAAGTCCAAAGCGATACGGACCTCGTCAAACGCAATTGCTAGGCCAAACGGCTGCGGATGACCAGCAAGTCACAGCTTGAACGATCAAGAAGGCCATGCCAAGAGGTTCCATGCAGTCCTGGTTCAAAACCTCCAGGTCCTCATCTTTGCCGAGCACCCACGACTGGTACTCAAGCTGCCAGGGTGTAAGTACCAGCACGCCCGCCTGAAGGCAGAGTTTCTGCTGGGCTGCGGTGCTCTCAGCCAGCACTGACTTAGATGAGCCAAGGCACTCTTGACGCCTCGTTTAGCTGTGTTTTGTCCTCCTCGCCTTGTGAGCTAGGATCCTCCATGCCTGCGAAGCGGGGATTGCAGAAGTCCTACACTGCTATCCGAAGCTCTTGCGCCTCCAGCCACGAGAACACGTCCGACGGCAGCAAAAGGAGCGATGAAGGAACGTACCTCCCAGCGCTGAGCCCTGGCCGAATTCTCCCCTGGTCCCATCCCTTTCCCTGTCCCTGCCTGGGCAGCCACTTCTTTGCTGGGCACAAGCACCACCCCATCGGGTGGCCGCTGGCGCCACTCTTCCCATGGCAGCTCGTCTAGGCAATGGAAGAGCTCGTGGGTCGCCCCTCGCAAGCACACCGAGAAAGCAGGTGCTGAGCAGACGAGCAGTGCAGACCCGTCTATAGCCTCGCAAAGCTGCAGCACGGATCAACAGCGGCACCGCATAGGCCAGGGTCTTGCCACAGCCATGCTCCGCTGTCACTACGACATCTCGATTTGTCCTTCACGGCCCGTAGTGGAAGAACGAAGGCGGCTCATGAAAGGCTCTCTGGGGGGTGTCCTTAGCAAAGGCCATGTCGTTGCCTGCAAGGGCGTGGGCGCGGCCTGCTGCCGCCGGAGGATGTTCTCCATCCAGCTCGGCAAGCAGGATTCCAAGAAAGACCAGGTCGGTCTCGGGAGTTGACTGCCCCCATCCTGTGCTAAGCGCTCTAACAGATTGGTGCCACCCTCAGAAGGCTCCGTGCTCCTCCAAAACTACCACACCGCGGCGAAGCCGCCACCTCTCCTGCAGTCATTTCTTGCAGCCCTTCCCAAGCCGGATCTGCAATCAAAAAATCCTGCTCGTCTGCATCATGGTCGAACTGCAATGCTGGATGCTCCACATAGCCCTCGAAGTGAACGGCGCTGTTCCTGTCAAGCTCGAACTGATATCTAAACCGCAGGCCCAGCTTCAGCTTGCATCCAAGATGCCGCGACTCTCCGGACCGCACTGGGCCCAAGCGCGAGGCCACATGAAGTCCCTCCTGCGGCTCCGCTTCCGGTTCCGAGGCCAGGCACGGAGAATGACCTGAGTAGCTGTTCGAAGCTTGCGAGAGTTGCTGAGGCACGTGACCGTAGCAAAGTGGTGCGCCTCCATTGCCGTCCAAGGCTTGCATGAATGCTTCAACAGAAAGCTGTCCGATGCAAGGTGTAACTGGATCTATTCGATGTGTCAGAAGCGAGACTACTTCAACAGCTGACGCCAAACACAACATCAGCTTCAGCCAGAGAAGTAGAGCAGCATCATGCACAAGAGCGATGCACGGGACATGCACCGAAAAATGCCTCTGACACAGGACGGTTGTCACACATGAGCACGACCAGATATCTTCAGGCAGACGCCATCGGGTCTGAGGGGTCAGGGCGTGCAAAAGTGAATTTTGTCGGAAAAACTTGCTAAGGGCAGAGGCTAGGCTTCAGAACCTTCCGGCGTCCGTGTGGCTTCTAGAAGCCGGATGAAGGGAGCCCAAGCGCTTATCGTCGGTACGACCATTCCAGAGGAAGGCCAGGCACCGGAAGCAAGACTGAATCGCCTTCAGCTACATCACCGTTGCGTAGAGTCTCTCGAATCTCTGCTCCTGGCCCCAGCGGAAGTGCCTTCTCCAGGGACGCACATGAGATAGTCATGTAGCAGAAGGCATGGGACGAAATACATCCATCCTACGTTTGTTCTCAGCTTCGACACAGCATGAAACAAGACACCAGCAGCTGCCATAGGAGGTCTCTTCGCGGTAACTTGTGAAATAGTTGTATTGAGTTTCTGAACAATCAAGCTATCACGCGCCGAAAAAATGAATTCACTGTCACCCACTGCAGGCCAACCTACAGGAATCGATTTAAAAGTTGCACTGCCAGACTCGGCCGCTAAAGTCTTATGCCAAGTACGAGAGACCTTCGTCGAAAGAGAGAGGTTCCATGGCCGAGTCCAACCGAAAATGGAGATCTGGTCTGCAGAGGACTCAAATGCCCTGCTGAGTGGCTGAGAAAAGTGGTGCCACAAAGAGTAGGTAGGAATCCTGGAACCATCCAGCATTTGCAGTCTGCTTCCAGCGGAACGGCATAAAGGACGGAGCTCTCTCGCGTCGCAGTCTTCTCCCTACAAAAGGGCTCCGAAAGTCGGTCTGTGCATCGTGGCTTCTTGAAGTGAGGCCCCTGCCTTCCATGTAATATAAAAATACAGTAATGTATGCATATATGTATATGATTATGTATACACCCATACATGCATGTTGAATATGTGTAATTACGTACCCATACAGATGTACACCCTGAAGATGCCGCACTGATCACATGCAGCGCCTTCTTCCAAGAAGCGTGGACTGGTGGCTCGATGAGCACCAGGTCAGGGTTTCAGCACTCTTGCATCGCACAAGCGGCTGTGCTGAAGAAACCTATAGAAGTCGCGCTCAAAGCTTGGAATTCTCACGAAGGATTTGTAAGGGAACACTGGGAATTTGGTGATTCTTTACTCTTTCAGCGCTTTTTCATCTCTTTCACCACAAAACTGCCGTAGTTGCTCGCAGTCAGACCTGGGCATGCGACAAGTGCACCCTGACGTCTTTCTATTCCAGCCGTTTCCCTTGTGAGAGCTACCAACAAGAACCCGACTAAACAACACACTCCTGCTGAAGCTTTCCGAACACACAACAAGCCCGCATATGTTGTCCAAGGCTTTTGGAAGATCGCAGACGGAGAACATTCTGCAGTCATCTTTTTGCTGCGCGAAGTTGCCATCCTCAAATATCCTCAAGAGCTTCCTGGTGAGTACAACTCGACAATTACTTACTTACATCATCCCATCGGCCCCCTGTAAATGCAGATGTCTGCATAAACTGGGGCAGCCGAGTTTATCAGGAGGCAATGGGAATATTCTGGCCAAGTTGCTGGCAAGCTCCTGCACTCAAGCGGCAAGCGGCAGACAGAACAGCTTGTGTGTGGACAGCGTTTCTTCATTAGTGTATACTCCTCTGCGTTCCCAGCCATGGCATTCTTGAGCCGCTCTCTCTCTTCCGGGGAGCTGTGCGAGAGTGCACACTCCACCACATGGCTGGCCACCTCCATGCAAAGCAATGCAGCCTCCAACTACCAATCCCATGTGAGAGCTGTCGTCACATCTGAGCCGGGCACCTTGTGCCTTGCCAAACGACCCATTTCTGGCCGCATCGCCTGGTTCCGGGTGCAGAGCCCTTCGGTCAGCTGCGGACGGCTCGTGGCGCTACGGTTGATGATATAAATCCTGAATTACCCATAATAAGGCCAAAACCATAATTCCCATAGCTTACGGTCTTTAAGGTACTGCAGGATTTATATCATCAACAGCAGTGAAGCTCCAGAGCTGAAGCCTCACAAAGACGAGTCCTCTGTTCCACGTTGCCATGCGCCAGGCTGTGCTGGACGACGTAGTTTCCTCGACCCAACGCATCTGTTCCCACGAATGCGTCCGCCCACCACGGCGTTCGACGTTCGTACGGACGTTTTTCATTCAGCACGGGAAGGTCGATCTCTAACTGCGTATCGGCACACACACACACGTAATGTCAACAGAGTCATAATATGTGCCAGGAGTCCATAAGGATGTCGACAGAGCCTTAGAAAAAACGAAGTATCCACCTGCCTGCACGTGGGAACAAACGGACCTGGACTGCACATCCACCGGCCGGGTCACTCCAGCACATCGGATAAAACCTGAAAGCATCAAATCCATCGAGCTCACTCGCAGTGCCAGGGTCGCAAGCCTAAGCCCTCAATCCTCCAGCCTAGCATCCTCGAGCAGCTCTAGCGGATGTGCTTGCGCTGCAGCCCGAAGAGCCTCCTTCGCGATTGGCTCCAGCTGCTCGGGCCAACCGTGCTCCAGCAGGCGCTCCAGCACCTGGACTTTCGCACTGGAAGATCGCACTGGGCATCTGATGCGAACTAGCGGCCGACAACAAATCATCGCTGAGTGCTCAATAAGATGTAGCTGAATAGACGAATTGCGTTGTTCTGTGCAGTGTTCTAACTCATTTTCCTGACGTTTTCTATGTCGCACATGGTGCTTTCTGATGAGTATGATGCATAAAGTTAAGATGTTGGCAGAACACACGCTCGCCACAAGTTGTTGAGAATTTTCTAAACATGCCTAATGCTTCTCTTTTTTTAACTTTTTCGCTTCGAAGTGCACCGGCTGAAGATCAGTCTTGCGTCGGGCGAAGACGACAGTCTCAGATGCAGACACGCCCACGGAGTTCTTTACGCTTGGGCTGGTTCTACTGTTTCGTACATAAGACTCGGAAGCTTGGGATCTGCATTTGGGGGCTGCTAGAAAGCTGAAGGACTCGCTTGGGCCTCCGATCACTGAGGTCTCCACGCGGCAACCGAAAGGATGCCGAGCAGCATCCCCGACACGACCTGCAGGCTTTCGGGGGACACTGCTTTAACCATACCCAGAAATCGTAGCAGCGAAGTCAGGAGTCAAAAGATGCCAAGAGCATTCCTCAGCGAGGATCAGAATTTCAGGAAAGGCGACATCCTTCTCTGTCATCCTGGGGCCTCGTAGCTCGAACACGATGAAGTCTAGCTTCTGCGGAGGCATGTGTGCGATCGCCTGCACTGCAGTGAGAGATAGGCAAAATGGCAGCTTGAGCCTGATATCAGGCACCGAGCCTTCTGAAGCACATGGTTGGCATGTGGTGACTTCAGCGCCTGCCTTGGTCGAAACGAGTCAAGAAGGGGGCAGAAGTCGGACTAGGCGAAGCGTTTTCTAAAAAGGGGGTCCTATGCTAGCAACATCTGTTAACTCCCAGGGCATAAGCAGTCCTGAAGTCAAGGACAAGGGGCCACACCTTGCCCTTCAAGACGTCCAACAGGTTCTGCTTCTCTGAAACCTCTGAGATCTCGAAGGCAGCCTGTACCACTCGGGTACCGTGCTTCGTGATAGCCATGCTCCACCTTAGCACGCAGTCGAACTTCATCACAGGGCCTGAACCGAACCAACGAAACAACATGGTAACATGGGTTGGTTTCCAAGCCACGCATCTTGCACAATGCGCGCCAACAGCCTCGTGAGATCAAAGCTGCCACAGCTGCAAGCCGATCTTTGCCCAGATTGACGAAACCTGGGTCAGACTACCCCACAATGCCCAGCCTCTTGCGGGAGGCCGCATCCAGCCCTGGTGCCCGCAGCTGACGCACAACTGCCTCCGATTCTTTGCCATTCCACCTGGGCATGAAGTGGGACCCTCATACAGTACCCCAAATAGTAGGACCCTCATTATATGGACCCCAATGGTCGTGCAACAGAAAAACCCCCACACAGATTTTTTGTTGCAGCGACCTGGACGAGGCGGCACGCTCCGCCCGGTGGCTCGGAGTCTGGGTCGAAACGGAGGACCCCATTTCCATGGAAATCTCGGAAGGCGTCGAGGACCTGAGCGAAAAACCGGCAAAGCCTGCAAAGCTTGCAAAGCCATATGCGCAGAGACTCAGAGACCCCTTTCTGAGGCGACGACACCGAGGGTGCACGATTGCCCATGCTAAAGTTCCGCAGCTGCTCCATGTCCTCGGCACAAAAGGTTTCCACAGCACAAATGTCAAAAGTTTGCGTGTGTAAGCAAGAAGCAGCGATGGTGCGTGCAAAGCCGAGATGCTACTTGCGGCGTGGGTTCGTCGCCTGCAGAGGCTAGAACACCAGCTGTTGTCAAAAGAATGCGCAAACTAGACTTTAGGTGTTCCACACTGCAAGGTGAGCCGGTTGGCTGTTGCAGACGCTTCTCTGCAGTTGAGTGGCCCTGCCCGACTGGAGCATTCTCTGGCCTCGAGCGGTGCACCAACCACATGGAGAGAGTGCCCTCTGTGACAATATCCACTATTATTGCTATTCGTAGTGTCGGTAGACTTCGTTTGTCGAAGAGGGATCGTGCGAATCAAAACACAGCTAGCCGTAGAAGGTCCGATCCCAGACCCTTGTTGGACTCGTGCAAATGGCACTGAACGAGTTGCTGCTTGGTCGCACAACAGGCACTGCAACCAGTACCATTTGCTGCATCTGAGGCATAGGGGCAAATGCCTGCAGCCTCAGTCGAATTGTCGCGCATGTTGAGGGAGAACTCTGCAAGATCG